GATATAATAGTAGTGACTTTAGTGACTACAATTAGGGAAATAGTGACGAAATAGTGACTTTTAAATAATAAATAAGTAACCAATAGTGACATTTATGTAATGACTCAGAAACTCAAATAAGGTTTAATATTCAAATAAACTGTTTTTGTCATGGAACTTAAAATCACATTTCATGTATTCCTCTAATGTAGTTTTGATATAACTCTCAACGGAATCTCCTATTAAGAGCATTTGAAGTGCAATTTCCGGATTTTCAAAAAAAAAATTAAATGTTACTGACTGAGTGATATACGTTAAAATTAATGTATAATCCAATAAACCATAATAAACCAGCATAAATAGGGTTAAATAGATCATTACAACGACAGTATTTTTTCGAAGATCTTGAATTTGATTCTACCTTTGAAATCTTTCAAATTTTGATATAACTTTGATAATTCTCTAAGAATATTTCATTTTTTTTTTTGAGGATGATCTCAAGAACTTTTTTAAAATTATTCCACTCCTCTTAAACTTGCTTCTAAAACAAGCTTAACAAAAATAATATTGCATTCTTGAAATTCTTTGCAGAACAATGGACAACATTCTTGGAAATAGATTATTTTTGTAGTTGGATATGCTGAACGTCAAATATCAGACTTAAAGTGGACATTTTAATAGAGTATAGAGTTGATAGTTCCGTTGTACTACGGCAGTGTAAAAATTGTATATAGAAAGTAAAAAGGGAGCTTAAAACAATTTTTAGGAATGTACAAATCGGGTAGAGCATCCCTTTTACCAAACTCATTGATGAAGGATAGTGAGGGGTGTTTCACCTCGCCACAATGGCAAAAGGGATAATCGCCAATTTGCTCATGTGCCTCCGATGTGCGGAAACAGTTCTATCAATTGTTTCACACTCAAATCGCCATCTGACGTAAACATCTACCTGATTTCTCTACCTAATTCGTACCTTCCTTAAAAATGTCCTTTGCTCGCTTTCTACTTCTACTTTCTACACACAATTTCACACTACCGTACTACAACGTAACTATCAACTCTATACCTTCATCTCCTCATCTATCGTATAAAATGTTCACTTTAAGTCTGATATTTGACATTAAGCATCTCCAACTATGTAAATCGATAACTTTACGCATGAATTAATAAATCATAATTAGTTAAAGTAGATTATATTCGATTTTGAATTATTCTTCCAGGATTTCCATGAAGACTCTTCCCATAAATCCATTTCAAATTTACTTGAATTCTCTTTAGAATTCCCATGTAATTAACCTCATAAATATCATAAATTTATGCTCAAAATAATCTTCGACTTCTCCCCTTCAATCCGTATTCTATTCAGAATTCCCATGGTATTTTCTCAGCATTATCAAAACAAAAATCCATCCCAGAATACCCTTTGAAACTCTTCGAAGAATTCCTTTAAGATTGAACCCTCAAAAGCCGATTCCATTGGAATTCTTCTCGGAATTTATTTCGAACTCTCTAGAGTTCTCATGCTTCCATCCCGAGGAGGGCGACTCTATCTACGATGCAGGGAAACGATTCTGAAGAATTCCTGCAAAAATATTATGCGCGATGCAAGTAGATGCGAGAAATGAAAGAAGATTGATTCGCTAGTGTGAGATTTGTTGAGCATCTAGAATTGAGATTTAGATGTGTCGCCCCCCTCGTTCCATCCTCAGAAATCATCCCAGAATTCTTTTGTAACTTCCTTAGTGCTAAGTACTCAAATTAAAAATGTTGTTGATATTGTTCCATTTCACTCTATTTTAGCTGTGAAAAAGTGACTTTGGTGACTATTTTTAGGGAAATAGTGACTTTAGTGACTTTTTGGTGTGTAAAGTGACTTTTTAGTGACTGACTTCAAAATAGTGACAAAGCCACTAAAAAGTGACCAGCTACCAACCCTGGACATTGAATGTTTTTAGATTTTGGACTTACTCAAATTAAGTACGTTTTTTAAACTGTGAACAGTGAAAAATTAAGTTCAACATTCATTGGATTTGATTACAAACTTGTTTCTTTAAAACTGATTACCATGTCTTAAAAACGCTTGGGTTAATTACTGTTGATCTTCCAGAAAAAGCATATTTTGAACGCATTAAAAAAAAACTTTCTTATTATAAGCCTTGAATTTATCCGTTAAAGTTCTGGGAAAACCTGGAAAACGCAGGAAATTTTATTTAGAAAAATGAGTTGACAGCCTGTAGATAGAGAAAGACGATTAAACGTCACAAAGCAAATAATGATCAATATTGAAATAAATTGACGCTAAAATAGTTGAAAATAGTGACTGATTACAAGAATAAGTGACTTTAGTGACATGAACTTAAAACAAGAGACTTTTTAGTGACTGACTTGAAAAAAGTGACTCACTACCAGCCCTGGAATTGGTACTCAAGTGTACGGAAAACAAATCAAGAGAAAAATTATAAATCAAACAAATCCAACAACCTTGGGGGAAAATCCAGAGACTTGCAGAATAACTCGGATGCTTTGCGGGACAAATCTAAGAGTCTGCTGGACATCAGATTCCTGATATATCCAAGGGAGATGTTGGAAATGTGTTAACAAAATAAGTGATCAACTATACCGAAACTGTAGAGATATGATCGAAAGATTACAAGGGCAAGTTCCACAGAACTTCAGAGTGCTTTCGTCCAGTGCCGTCAAAAGCCATGTCTGTGGACTCTGTGATTCATTCCGCAGCACTGTACAGCTCAAACAATTTCGAAAGAAAATATATAGAGCTTTGATAGTAAGACCAGATAATGTTTTTGACATGTCCAGGGGATCTGTTAACTCCCAAAGGCAAGTACAACGAACCTCAATGTCCTCAATACTGGAGAATGTCCTAGAAGTGCACAGTGGACCTCGGGAAATATTCAGAAAGCATCAAGTGTTAGTTTCGATACTCAAATGTGCTATTTTAGAGCAGCCCAATAACTTCTTTTCATTTCATTTTCATTTTGCAGCGTTTGGTGGGGCAATGGGAGCGCAAGTCAATCCAAAGCCGAGGATAAAGGACGGGTAATGGCTGAATAGTCTATGCGGACCACTTGAACGCCATGGGAAAAGGAAGGGAATGAAGAGGTCGGTTATTGGGGAGTTTTGAGGAAATGACACATAGTGATGCTAAATGTAAAGAAACCGAAAATCCATCTCCCACTGATTCATCCTTTTAGAAGATGAACCAGCCTGCGGCTGAAAATCTCCTAAATAGAGAAAAAAAAATTAATTGATTCATCCTTTCACATATATACCAAATTGATATTTTAAAGCAATAATCAAAATAAACAGACAATACATGAAAAGGCTAGTTGCCAGTTGCTTTAAAGGCTAGTTGCCTCCCTAAGCGGACCCTCCGCATCCTAACTCTTCTGTTAATAAACTTAATGCTACTAGGCTGTCTAAATTTTCTTATTTAAGTTCGTTTGATGATTATGATATCTCTAGTCTAATTTAATAAATAATTGAAATCTCTAATCTACCTACCATGCTTTATTAGGTACCTGCACTTGTGAATGTAATCTAAAATTTAACGTGTTTCAAGTTGTTTTCGACTTTTATTTTTATTTAATATATATTAGTTCGTCCCAGGTGACACCTTCAAGTGACTAAAATGCTTCACTTTGAAGTTAGTTTCCTAGCTGATTTTTAAATTACATAGGGTATATGCTTCAACTACGCTCACACGTTTCCAGTATGTCGCACCACAATAATACGTATGGTTATGTCACAATAGATACGCGCCACAGTGGAAATCGCGAGCCATAGTTCAAACACTTATCCCAAATCAAAATGAAGCACATATATATAAGATAAGTTGCAATACCATGTACAAAAATGGTGTTTAACATTGTTCCCTGAGTAATACCTCAATGAAAACAACAACGAAAGCTTGTCACGCAAGTAGAAGGAGTACTGTTGGGCACTGAAATATTTCAATAGTATAACTCCCTTGCAAACCCAAATAAAACTATATATGTTAAAATAAATAAAATAAGAGTGATTTGCGGCAAAACCCGCCAGTATCGCACCCAACGTTAGTGCCTATACGTAAGCGTACTACATCGCGGCTTTCAAATAAAGGAGTAACAAGTGTGATACTATCACTTCAGGCTAGAACTTTGGTTCTCTTATGCAATGCTTCATCAGAGAGGGGAAGCTCAGTAATCCTCATCGCATGCTCATGACGCTATTCTGTCACGGCATGAGCCAACGATGCCGGACCTAAACCAACCGTCTCCAACGCTCCACTATGAAGCATAAGATTAGGCCCGCCCACCAACGTCCAGGTTAAAAAACTAGCCAAGGGGAGGGTATTTTAGAGCAGCCCAATAACTTCTAGGACAAAAGTAAGAAATGGTTTAAGTCCTGATGATCTGGATTACAGTTTCGAACAACCTCTTGGGAAAATACAATGGATTTCAACGTAAGAACCCTGTGGGTAAATATATTGGAAGGAGCCAAATTTGATCCTTAAAAAAATTGTGAACTCGTCCTCGAACTTGTCTTCTTAAACTAGCCTTGAAGTCCCATTGATCCTGAACCTTTCCCTACCGACTGGCTTCCAGAATTAAGTTGGATTTACCCACAATGAGATGGTCTTTGAAGTCGTCGAAGATCATTAGACCGGCTCTCTAAATGTCTTACAATGATCCCTTATTTTTATCCTAATCTAAGTTGGATTCCAGACACATAAACCGAGGAAATTTTGCCACCATCTAATTCCCCGTAGATGCATACGTCCCACGAACGGAACGCTTCCTATCAATCATCGTTTCCATTTCGATTTTCCATACAAGAAACACGTTCCCCGGTTTGAAAATTCAATTAATGCCATCCTCCTTTCACAAGCAGCCAGTCACTGCAAACCTCCTTCCTCCAATCAATTGATGTAATCAACAACAACAACAACAGGACCGGACACGTGTCCGAATCCATATCAGGAATCCGTTTCGCACTGTATTCCCATCTCCCTTTCTCCTCACCTGGAATATGACAACTCGGCCGCCCTTGTCGCCGGTGGCCAGCAGCTCGCCATCGTGGTTGAACTCCACACACGAGATGATGTCCGCGTCGGTGACATCGTCGTCGAGGGCACCCTTTATCTGTGAAAAGCACCAGGATGTATCGCCATTGCCTAGAAATGAGAAAGAAAGCAGAAATTAGTACACTTCCATATATTGATTCAATCGAAACGATGACGACAACGGCGAACGGGGGTACATCCCGACTAAAAAAAACAATATGCATTAACTGGACGACGTTTCAATTATAAGTTTTCATTCGCCACCCAACACTGACTGTTCGATGTGCATTGCATGTAAAGCTATCTACAGATTTGTAGGGTATACGTCCCTAACCTCGGTCTAATATGCAGCCATCGATTACGTTTTTAATCATAACTCATCAATGAATTTACCTGCAAACGATATTCTACTGCTAAATGGTATGCTTAGATATGCTTATCATGTCGTTTGCTATCAGAAACCACGAAAAGTTGAAAAACTTACTTTTTTTAAGACAATAACTCACGAGGGAAATGTATGTAATATGGGTCTATTGTCCCCAAATTGGGTCTATTTATGGATGCAACTTCGTCCTATCTTGTTTGATCCTCAAAAAAACGCTCTTGGTAACGTTTTCTGATGTATTTTTTTTATCACTATCACTGTTAACTTAATGCTCTTCATTCCTCAAAACATTTCTTAGAGAAAATTTTACGAAAACTACATTAAATCACTCAATTTAAAAATTAAAAATTTCGCTTATCGTCTTTTGACCGCAGAATATCTAAATCAGAACATTGTGATGTTCATTATACAGGTTTGGCAGAAAAAATCTCCCTTCCTGTTCGTTCCTTATCATCCAAATGCAAAACAACATTGTTGACGTTACTCTTATTGCTATATGCTGTCAAATGAATTTCATGGGCCATAGTTAGGAACATAGAAAAGAAATGTGTCCCTAAAGTTGGGTCCATGTTTTACTTGTGAAAACGTTGTTAAACAATTAAAATAAACATAAAATATTCAAACAGCAACTGTAAGTTTTACGTCTAGTGTGTATTATCAGGTAATTCCAATCAATAAATGCCATAATCAGGCCATTTGATGATCGTCAGTCAACCTTCCCATCTTAACCTTATAAGTCATGGCGGCTAAAAACTCCGAACATTGTGATATTCTCAACCAGTTTTATTACTTACGAGAGCTGAAAATGTATTGAAATGTTGTGATATAAATTGATTTGTGTGTGGTACACATTTATCAACCATCAGTGATCAATATTTTCCTTATTTTTTGTGTAATATTCCTTAATTAATTATTTATTTGCGTGATAGGCCGAATGAAAGGACTAGACCCACATTACATACCGTAACCCTATATTCGAATTGTTTCGAAATGTAATTTTTATCCGGGGACGTTGGTCCACCACCAGAGCAGCAGGATTTGCGTTTCAATGTAAGTACATAGCAGCATTTATGAAACGACGACGGCATAAATGGAAGAGACAACCAGTGGAAAGTGGCAAACAGCGAGTCTGGGTGCACCATCTGGTCAATCAAATGACGGCAGCAAATCAAAACTCGTTTGCCATAACCTCAAATCGATATCTTGGACAGCCATGGTTTTACACGGTTCGAGTTCAGTTATGGGTAGACGCGTGTTTGATCTGTGCTCATGTCCACGATTAGTTGGTATGGTGTGTATGTAGGTGCTGTCATACGCATGTAGGTGCATGATTTTGAACGGAGATTGACCAGTTTGGGAAGGGGAAAATTGGATCGTTTGCCGGTGGCTTAGATTCAAGTATATTGAGAAAATGTTTCGAGATATAACCTGTTCAGAGAGTTCCTGCTGCAGATCTAGATGATCAGCATCTCACGATATAGCAGGAACAAACATAGTTATGCACACTATCACCACTTAGTGGAACTGATCACCATCCGAATGGACTTAGTTCTGTTAACAACATTGCCGAAGAAAGCAACTATCCTCCAGGTGGCACTAAATGCTGATTATGTGGGTCAGAGTTCAGAACTCGTTATTAAGCCATTCCATAGCAAAACGATATAGTGGTTCTCAGAATTTCATAAAAAATGTGTAGTTTTGTAACATGAAATGTTTTTGTGGTTCTAAAACTTTCTAAATATTCAAAATGCCAGACTCTGGGACATTGCGTGGATTTTAAGATAATCTCAGGCTTAATTTTCGGTATCCTGTACTATGGAAAAAAAATCCGGGCTTGAAGAAATATTCAATATTTTCAAGAGAAATATTTCGGCTACAACCGACTACAATCGAAATCCTCCAATCAAATTCCCGGTTCTCCCGATTCAATGGTCACCCTGACCGAGTGTATTCAGCGCCTAAAAGTCAACGTTGAACCATGCAAATTATTTCGAATTGAAAGTACCTGGCCGTAAAAACAACAAATTCTGCTCACGACTGACAACTAAATTGACTGAGCCAAGCCCATCAGAAAAGGTCAATTTGGGCACCAATTTGCTGTAGAACCTACCAGTATTTCACCTTCCCAGGGTAAGAGTAGCAGTAGCAAACCAAATGTGGTAACGACAACGAACCCCTTTTTTCTCGCCCTCGAATCACGTGACACGAAAAGCAACTTTCCTCGAAAGGATAATCCGTGTGCAGCTCTAGCTCGCCACACTCGGTCGAGCTGTGGTGGGTTTCACAGCAAAACAAATCCTTTCCCTCCTGGTGGGCTCCATCTTCCTCCACCCACTGCAAATTTCGCTCGATTGTTCCGCCACCAGACGAGACAAGCTCAGAGAAAATGGGGACCGGCGGCGGTGCATGGCATTTCAAGAATAGACGTCATTCTTTTGCTTTTCCACTCGATTGCCGTCCGCATGAATATTTATCCGATAGGTAGCAGGTAGGGGGAAGACAGTCCAAAATGCACCCCCGGGGCAATTTGAATTTGATGAGCAGCCCAAAAAGCTATGAAAAACCACATGGGGCTTTTTCCCCCGAGGTGCATTTTGGCCTGCACTACCCTACCTATAGCTGTGGGGCAAAATGGTGTATGCTTTACTCAAGCTTGAAAAGCTTGCGACTCAACTGAGGTGGAATGGGTGAAATTTGCGAAAGGGGAAAAATTGATTGACAAATCAAAATCGGCCAGCTTAGGAAGTGGGAACATTTTGAAGGTGATAAATCTTTACAACCTTCGTTATCAATCAGTTATCGCATTCGTACAGGTTGTAAATGGAAGGAATGTGGCGTACGGTTGAATCTAATCGGAATTTACAACCTCACACATAAAGGCGAAATGTGAGGGGTGATTTTCGGGACTAAGGTATTCCCGCTGGGGATTCCCGGAAGAACTTACGTTGAAATTCATTTTGGGATTGAGGAATAATTTTTGAACCAATTTGACAATCTTCAACGCATGCCATAAGGTAAGATTTGTTTCTAGAATCGCTCGTGGACATTCCCGTGAAATGCTTTTGTTTGGCATTCATATTGGATATTCTCCTCTACAATGGCATTGGCGGAACCACTCGGAATCGAAAACATTTGCTATCATTTCGTGGATAGAGGACAGTCTCTTTTCCCCTCTAAATATGACAACTCCCCTCCCCTTGCCAGCAGAACCAACTTCGTTTTGATCTCCGTCAAACACTATGCATTTCCATGTAAATCAACTCCAACAATCAGCAGTTCTCTTATCTCGAAATGAGCAGAATAACTCCCTCCTTTCATACACTGGGCGCTCACACCAACAACAAGACACCATAACAGATCACGTTGATTTCTAATCTGACCTCGTTGGGGCACCGTTCGTTCGTTGTTTGTGTAGTATACCTACTTACATACATCTCCATATTGCTGCAATTTACGCACCCCGTATCACGGAATCGGCATTTAATCTCGGCGTTGACAACGTAGCTACAACGTTAACGACGACGGTGGCCGCCATGACAGCTGTCCTATTATGGCGAAGGGGTAATTCCAGGTCACCGTTCTCGCGGTGGTGATACAGCGTGGTAAGATTTTCATTATTAAGGTGTAATGGAAATTATTCGTTCGCTTACATGCTCTGATCTCGCATTGTCAATGCACACGTAAACAGTGGTGAGCGAATTGAGTTGACTTTTTAATTTTAGGTAAAATGGCCATTTCCTTCCGGGTCACAGTGATAGGGTTTAGACCTGTGCGCCGGTCCAATAATCGACGGCGACGTGCGTGGCGTAATTGGAACAAGAGAACTTCTGCGTACTGCGGGGAAGTTCCAAGAACTTCAGAAAATTTTCATATCTTTCCTTTTAATCCATCGTACTTCAGAGTACTTCGGGAAAGTTTTAAGATAATCGAAAAAGTTTTACTAACTTCAAAAACGTCTACGAAATGTTGAAAACATATGCAATAGTCTTTTTTGAAATCATCGATCAGCTGATAAATCATTGAATAAATCCTTATCAACAAGCAAAGTCTGAAGGAATATCTTAAAGTCTTTATTTTAATTTTGATCAATTACTAGTTCAACGTGAACGTCTTCGACCATTTTTTTTTTGTTTTCCATTACTTTCTAATCAGCCTGTCATGTTGGAAGAATATCTGAGAAACTTTTGAAATTTTAAATACTTGCAGATCTGCGCAATGAAACGTGATCTTTCTAGACCCTTCTACATTATAGAGATCTTTGATCAACTGAAGGCCTATGGAATAACTGCTGATCAACCCACTATCTTGACATAATATCTGAGAACATGATTTGAATAACTGGATAGATGTAGACCTTCAGATTAATATGTTATCAATCTGAATTCTGTAACTATCCAAAGAACTTTATGGAAATGTTTAATCAATTAAAGGTCTCTGAAATAATTCCTGATCAATCTGCAATCTTTAGAGAATTTGTTGAATCATGATCTGAGTTGTTTGAGTACAATAGAGATCATCAGAATATTATCTGATCAACATGAAGTTTTGCATGCCATAATATCTAGACGACTTAATAAAGGTTTTTGATCAAAAGTAGCCCTGTTCAAACAAAATCCTGATCAAACTGCTTTCTGAAAGGAACAGGATTTGAAAAACTGTACAGTTGGAGATCTTCAGAATAATTCCTGATGAACCTGATGTCGTGACACAAAATATTAAGAAGACA